TGCCTCCTCCCGCCGCCGAGAGGGGACGCGGGCTTCCAGCCGGCGTGGGCGCGCAAGAAGTGAAGTGGGCAACCCTGGAGCCGGGGCTGAGACTCCTGGACTGAGGGTGAATCCTCCACGTGTCGCCACGCGTGCTTCTTTGGGGCTCGCACCCGTCCCCATCTGTTCCCTTTCCCCAGCTTCCAGCTCGTGCGAGACAGAGAGGGGAGTCCCCAGACTCCTGAGTCTGGGGCGCTTTCCGCCCTTCCTCTCCCCTCCCCCAGGGCCTCGCAGTCGGAAAGCAATATTCTAGGAGGAAAATCTAGGAGGGCAATATTCTAGGAGGCAAGAGAAGCGGCTGTTCCACAAGATGTGCCTGTAACACCCCTCCTCCCCTGTGTTACCTTGGAATCCCCTCTACCTCCTCCCATCCAGCGGTACGCACTGCACACACCCGAACCTACATTGCTTCCCAATCCAGGCGGACATGCCTTACATCACACACAAGCAGCTCCCTAGAGACACCCACTTCTCCCGTGTCGTTTCCACACACGTCCTCCTTACAAGCAATAGCCCTTGCACAAACACCCCCCCCACCCACCCACAGGCGCACCTGCCTGGAGCAGGCCCACCTGGCCCTCTGACGGCAGCGGCAGCTTGCACACACGCTGAAATCCCTTCAAGCCACATCCCGGGTTTCATTGTCAATCAGATTCGTGACAGAATGGAAACAGACAAGTCAATAAATCAAGTCTAGAAACAGTTCCAATGTTGTCTATCACAAACTCCGTATCCTCCCGAGGCTCGGATGCTCAAGTGCTAGATATTTTTGTATTAGAAATAAATCCAGGCTGACTCGGTCCTGTAATTCCAGCACTTCGGGAGGCCGAGGTGGGAGGATTGCTTGAGCCCAGGAGTTCGAGACCACCCTGGGCAACATAGCGAGACCTCATCTCTACAAAAAAATTAGCCGGGCGTGGTGGCGCACGCCTGTAGTCCCAGTTACCCGGGAACCTGAGGTGGAAGTATCACCTGATCCCCGGAAGGTCAGGTTGCAGTGAGCCGTGATTGTGTCACTGCACTCTAGCCTGGGTGACAGTGAGACTCCAAATCAAAAAATAAAAATAAAACCAATCCCTCACCAGAAATGTTCTATAACATTTCTGCCCTGAAACCAACGTCAACATTTGCTTTTGGCTCTGCTGGTAAGGTATCTGCCTCATCTCACCACTACCCTATTTTCATTTCCCTACTGCCTAAGTGTCTCCCCACTTCTAAGCTCATATCTGCCTTTCCAGGGAGCATAGAGTCAGATGAGGCCCTAAAGAGAAGGCAGTTCAAACTTGGGGGAGTAGAGAAGGATGTGATACCAAACAGCAAATCTCCTAGGATCCCAGGGCCCCAAGTCAGAGAATATTTGAGTTCCTGCCTTGTGCAAATTCTAGTGTCATATATAAAATAGTGCTTCTCGAACTTTAATGTGAACACGAATTTCCTGGTGATCTTGTTAAATTGCAGCTTCTGATTCTATAGGTCTAGCTGGGAGGAGTCCCAGACTCTAGTTCTAACAGGTTCTCAGGTAATACCGATGCTCCTGGCCCCAAACCACACTTTGAGTAGCTGGATTGTAGAAGACACTGAAAAATCTGATATTGCATCTGGCTTTATGAAGTATAAAGGAGAAAACATGCACATTTTTAAAATGTGCAGTTTAAAAAATTGACTAATGACAACCAGGCGTGGTGGCTCACACCGGTAATCCCATCACTTTGGGAGGCCCAGGCAGGAGGAATGCTTGAGCCCAGGAATTTGAGACCAGCTTGGGCACCAGAGTGAGACCTTATCTCTATAAAAAAATCAAGACATTAGCTGGATGTAGAAGCATGTGCCTGTAGTCCCAGCTACTTGGGAGGCTGAAGCAGAAGGATCCCTTGAACTTAGGAAGTGGAGGCTGTGGTGAGCCAGGATCATGCCACTGTACCCCAGCCTGGGCAACAATGTGAAACCCCAACTCAAAAAACAAAGCTGGACAAGAGATGATAAATACCAGAATAGTCCAGTTAATTCATATGGGGTCTCTACAATCAGGTATGAGGGCATGGAAAAGTCACTGACCAGGAGTTCAACAGTTGTAGGCTCTAGCCAGATATTTGGAGATGGTATTCTCCAAATCCTTGCTTTTCTCATATCTGGAAAGGGCATGATAACCATTGTGTGAAGATTAAGGGAGGTGATGCATATGAACCAGTTTTGAAAACTGTTAGATGCTTGCAATGGAAGGTGTCGCATGAGGCCATGTGTTTAAAAAGTGTGATGTTAAGTTGCTGATAGCACTGAGGAATAAAATCAATCAAGTCTGCAGGCTTTATGCAGGAACTAGACCTGAGTGGATTTGGACAGATGAAACAGAGAAGTGAAAGTTCATTCCAAACCAGAAGGTCAACATGAGCTGAGCATACCATAAAGATGGGGAGTATTCATGGAGGATAAGACTAAGAATAAAGTTAGATAGGAAGGAGGAAAGATGTTATAAAGGTAAGGTATACACGATCATTTTAAAATTATGGCTGGGTACGGTGACTCAAGCCTGTAATCTTAGCACTTTGGGAGGCTAAGGTGGGAAGATTGCTGGAGGCTGGGCAACATATCGAGATACCATTTCTAGAAGAAAAAAAAAATGATAATACCTGTGTGCACTATGCACTTAATCTTGTTTTAAATTTATCTGTTAATGTACTTTCCTCCCTCTCCAGAGTGTGAACTGGGAGCAGATAGTGTTGGGCACCTTATGGGAGCCAGGAAGCTCAGTAGGAACCAAGGATACAGAGGTAATATTGTCACAGAAAGGCTTCTTGAGAGTTGGGTGGTTTCCTAGACCCAAATTTTTGCATGTTAAGCAATTCACTATAGAATCAGGATGCTATGGGGACGCAGGGGTGTTCCCATCACAAAGCCTATCATGTGACATCAGCTTGACAGATGTTTAAATAAATAAAGATAATTTCTCTTATTCTTAGTTTTATATAGTTATATATTTTTTACTTAACATGGGATGATCATTTTCTCATTTTTGTTATGTAGGCATGATATTGTCACAGAAAGCCTTCTTGAGAGTTGGGTGGTTTTCTAGATCCAAATTTTTGCATGTTAAGCAATTCACTATAGAATCAGGATGCTATGGGGAAGAAGGGGTGTTCCAATTACAAAATCTGTCACGTGACATCGGCTTAACAGATGTTTAAATAAATAAAGATAATTTCTCTTATTCTTAGTTTTATATAGTTATATATTTTTTACTTAACATGGAATGATCATTTTCTTGTTTTTATTACGTAGGCTTTATTTTCTTCTAATTTTTTGGGAAAAATTTCAAACCTACAGAAAAGTTCAAAGAAAGCATAGTGGAAACCTATATACGCTTCACCTAGAGTCACCACTTTTTAATATTTTTCCATATTTGCTCTTTCCTTTTTCCCTTTCACTTTTCTTTTTTTTACCCATTTGGTGCCAGTTGCACATATGACACTCTAAATACTTCAGCAGGATTTCCTAATAAGGAATTCTCCTATTGGGTCACATGATCATCATCACACTTAGGAAATTTAGCATTTATTTAATAGTATCATCTAATTATACAGTCCTTATTAAATTTTCCATTTTTTCCTGAAAATGTCCTTTGTAGTTTTTTTCTGATTCCAGATTTAGTTAAGATTTAATGAAAAGCATTGCGTTTTGTTAAGTTTCTTTAGTCTATGTTAATTTTGGACAATCCCCTACTCTTTTGTAGTTTCTTTTTCATGACATTTATCGTTTTGAAGTGTCCAGGACAATTGTCATGTACAATGTCTCACATTCTGGATTTTTCCATAGTTTCTTCATGACTAGATTTAGGTTAAACATTTCTGAAAAGATCACTACATAGGGATGTTGTAGACTTCCTGCGTGCCACATTGGTAGACCCAGAATGCTCATTGTCTCTTTATTGGTGATGCTAGGCTTGATCACTTAGTTAAGTTGGCCTCCACCAGGTCTCCACTTTACAATTCATTTTAATCTATTTATATTTGTAGAGGTGTCAGGAAGTGGGGGAGAAGATGTCTCACTATGTTGCCCATGCTGGTCTCAAACTCCTGGCTTCAAGCAATGCTCCTGCCTCGGCCTCCCAAAGTTCTGGAATTACAGGTGTGAGTCACTGCGCTGGACACTCTACAATTTAAAGAAAGTTATGATGTGATGTCCTGAGAATGTTTAGCTATTTGCTTCTAGCAGTGCTTTACCCAGGTTTTAGCCTCCATTGATGATCTGTGCTTACATTTGTTATTACAATAAAGGCTGCAAAACAGTGACTTAATTAATAATAGAAGGGACCTATCATTCTTTCTCCATTTATTAGCTGACATTCTTCTTTAAAGAAGAGCTTTCTTACTTCTTCTCACCAATTCCCCTTCATCACCACAGAGTGAAAAATTTTTAAAAATTCAGCAGGA